TTTATATTTTTATATTTTTATATTTTTATATTTTTATATTTTTATATTTTTATATTTTTATATTTTTATATTTTTATATTTTTATATTTTTATATGCTCATATATAAAATGATTTTGAAATTTGATTCTATTTTTAAACATCTAGGAACAAAAAATTACTTATAATACTAATTTTTTTAAATATAAAAATCATTTTTTCTTGCTTTTTCAATCCAATGTCTCATGTTAGCAAAGAATTTTATTATATTTAACATCATATTTTATATCTTTATCTGATAGTCATTCTAATGCACTTTAGCTTAAATCGGCATAACTTGTTTTTAAGGTAATACCTAAATTCAAGCAGTGTAAAAAAATTCTTTGGTTTGATTCAACTCAGGTGAATATGGATTTAACAATTTGACTGTTGTTCCAATTTGTGCAAGAGTATACAAACATCTCTTGCATGGTGAAATCTAGTGTTGTTCATTACCAAGAATTTAGCAGGATTCAGCCTAAAAAATATGACTGGGTGATTTTGATTGAACTCAATAAATCTTACGTAATTATATGCATCTGTACAGCATTCATAAGCAATTATTGCTTGAATACCGATCACGCATATATCATTTTTATTTCCTCATTTGTTAACAGGAATCGTAATATGAGCTTTCCTATTGATTGGTAAGTGTTCATATTTTCTACTGCTATGTAAATTAAATCCTGTTTCATCTAAAAAACAAGGTTTACGTTGCCTATCACAAAAATTTCTATAAATAAAATAAAAATTTTCTTATTCTATTTTCAATATTTCGTTCAGTTGGTACCCGCGTAAATCGTTTTCTTGTAGTATTTAATTTTTTTAACTTTTTAGATAAGATAAATCAAGTAATCTTTACAGAAAATCGCTCTTGAATGGGCTCTTATATTTCATCTTGAACAAATAAATTATTACAACTAAATATGCATAAAACTCAGCGTTCTTTATGTTTAAGCATTTCATTTATTATGCTACTATTTTTCTTCATTTTTAATCAGCAGAAGCAAATACTATGACCTTATGATAATCAGCTATGTTCTTTCTAGTTATTTTTCTATCATATTTAAAAAAGCCTGAAATGTGCTTTATGTTATTTTTCTCGTTTGCTGCCATGCTTAGAACCTGATAATGTAATTCTTTAGCATTAATTTTTCGAATTTTCTTATCATTTAGATTAAAAATGTATAAAATTAAAAATATATAAAAACATTTTACTTAGTTATAAAATTTTATAAATAGGTATATAAAATTGAATATTGTAGAAAAAAAAGATGAAAGTATATAAATGAGTAAATGGGCATATAAAACTGAATAGTCCTGTAAATCAGTTTGATTTTTATTTTGAGATTTATTTAAAATCAAATTCATAAAATTGAGATTCTCATTTTATTGCATAGAACATAATTCTTTGTTTGATTTAGTCTTAATGATTTAACATCACTTTTAATTGGTAATTTTAATAAATAACTAAAGATGAGTCATAATAAAAGCATTTAGCATAAAATTTCGACAAAGTAAAAAAATAAATAATTTTTTTATTTATAAATAAATTTATAACATAATTTATTAAGATCTGATTTGCATAATCTAAGAATAAGTTTATAAACAAATTAAAAAAGAATCCATGCATAAAAAAATACTTTATCTTATACTTCCTAATTATAGGTTTATAAAATACATTCATACAACAGCATTTAGAGATACTTCTAAATTCACCATTAGTATATTTTTCTTTTTAATTTATTCTTTTTTAACATTTTTAGGAATAAGAAAAAAGAGAATTTCTTCATTAATATTAGTTCCTTCCTTATTTTTTGGTGCATTTTTATGCATGAAAGAGCATTTTAAGGAATATTATGACAAAGAGAAACCCTTAGTAAATCTTTTGAGTGAAAATTTATATAACAAATTTAAAGAATATGTTTTAAAAAATGAAAAGAGTATCTTACTTCTTATATTTATTTTTAGTCTAATTTTAGGTTATTCATTGGATGGCATTACTTTATTAGGTAAAATTTTACTATCACTTTATTTTAGTATTTCCTCAATGGATTGTGGATTGTCTATAGAAATGAAAAAATCATTAAAAATACATTCTAGAATGTTTGATTATTTTATTGGGTTAATAATATTTTGCTTAATTTATTATTTATGCAATTATGTATTTGATATATGTTTAGCTGGAATTTTTAGTTTGTATGGATCATTTTTTCTATTGGCTACTTTTGTTCATTTAACAGATGATTCTTCCTTGGGGTTAGAAAACTTAGTTAAAAGAGAGGATGGTATTATTATAATCAATATAAATAGCTCTGCATTTGCATTAATTATATTCACTGGTTTGTTTGGGTTTATAATACAAGTATTTGTTCTAAGAAAGAAATAAATGTAAATTATATAATCCTTTCCTATGTTTTACGTGCATTGATCTCAACAAATGTATATTTTAATATATTTTTTTAAAATAATTTAAATTATTAGTTTAAATCTTTAATAAAATATTTAAATCAAAATAAAATATAAAATATCATGGATTCATTATCACAAGAAGAAATACCTTTAGATGATTATAAATTAAATGATGATGTAAAAATGTCACTGTATCTGTCTGAAGATCCCTTTAATAATGAGAAGGAAAAGAAACATTACAAAAGACTTAGAAGATGCTTAACTCTTCAAAATAACTTAAATGCTTCTAAATACAACTTCTATTTTAATAAGTTAAAAGAGGATCATGCATATTTGTTTAATCAACAAATTATTAAGAAATTGTATGTTCATTTTGACTTAGATATGTTTTATGCACAGGTGGAAATGCTGAGATCAGGAAATAACTTTCCATTGGGAATAGGATCCAATTTAATGTTATGTACATGTAATTACTTGGCTAGAGAACATGGCGTTAGGGCTGGTATGCCTGGGTATTTGGCCAAAAAATTATGTCCTAATTTAGTAATCATTAATCCAGACTTTAAGAGAATTAATTTCTATTCTGATGAAATTATGAAAATACTTTCATTGTTTGATAATGAAATAGAAATTTATGGAATTGATGAAGCTTGTTTGATTCTTTCAAAAGAAAAATTGAAAGAAGCTGAGGATATAATTAAAGAAAAGAATTTACAAAATGAAGTGGAAATGCGTGAATGTAATTCACAAGAGGTGGATGAAATCAACAACAATTTCATTAAAAGAGTTGATGGCTTAATACAAAGCATTAGAGCATATGTATATAAAAAAACATGCTTAACCATCAGTGCTGGCATTTCTTACACAAGAGGGTTAGCTAAGTATGCCAGTGGGGTGAATAAACCCAATGGACAGTATTTTACAACTGATTATGATTTAGAATTACCTATTGATAAAATCAATGGAATAGGAAACGCAACGAAAGAAATTTTAAACAAGACATTAAAAATTAAAAATATTTGTGAATTGCGAGAAAAAATGAATGAAATATTTTTAAAACTAACAGAAAAAACGGCCATCTCTCTCCTGCATTTGAGCTATGGTGTTGGATACTTTGATTTCAGAAGTAATAAAAAGGTACATAGTAAAGGAATAAGCACATCTTTTCAGGGCACTCTAGACTTAGGATTTATTTATGATAAATTATTCTTTCTCT